GACAGAAAACTTGTAAAGTTTACGTGTCATTCCACAGGCGTGAGTGACACCATCACCCATAGCCTTCAACGTGGCAAATTCTAGTGTAGCTTTTTTAAAATTATGTCTTTAACGGTTGGCAACTTAAGAGAACTGCAACCACCCAGACACCGTGAGGAGAAAGTTGAGTTCCAACCAGATGTCCTCTAACTAATATCAAGGACCTAAGTTTACATGGATAAAGAGGCCATAATAACATCTGCGTTGAAATATTAGTCTAAAGGCTGAATCCCTATATGTACCTTTCCACTATCTCTTGTAAAAAAAAGAAAGTTAGTACCTTTTTGAAGTCCCCAATAACTAGCATTCACTAAACGAAATCCGCTCACAACATTTCAATTTTGTCTCCTATCATTACCTTAACTGACCACACAGTTGTGAAAACCAACAGCTCACCATTTCAACGGGCTCTTAAAAGAACACTACTTGATTCATGAATTTTAACCTCCCACTTACAATAACTTAAGATGAACGTTCAATGCGTTACACACCAAAGAAAATGAAAGATGTTAAGTGTTAGTTTTGAATTATTGCTATGAAGTTTTGAATGACCGAAAGCTAGCTTCCTTATAACAGTCAACAACACTGGGAATTAAATAAGGTGATTAGCTGTGTGCTATCGACTTAAATCCACGTGGTACAATCTGGGCAACGTATACTCATACTCCAAAAAAGTTTATAAACTGGCCGTTTGCATCGGACTTCAAACAACCATGACCCCACTGTTTGTCATATTCGACCACCACCGCCTTAGCTTTTTTCTATACCTTTGTATCTGTCTTTCTTATATCTGTTAAAAACTCTTTTATGTCCACCCCTCCCCCTCGACTTTTTGGGACTTTTGATGTTCAAACCCTCTGTGAAGCCGAAGTCAACTAAAGGGTTACTGATAACTATCAAAGCCTACAATTGAATATAAATAAATAAAGCCATTATAGATACAGATAACTTATTATTAGCTACACCGAAAGCTAACATTGATCGAATTATATAAGAAAAAATATCAAATTCATTCAAGCTTTAAATACGATGAAAGACAGGCATCTTAAAACTTAAAATAGGAACGGAAGGTAAGATGGAGAGATGACGTATTGGCCAATAGAATGCTTTGAGGCTCCAGCCTCAGGCAATCAAATTTCACGAGTTTCCTTCAAAATTCTGTACTCTCTGAGTCGAGCCAAGGCGTAACTAAAATGATAAGAATGAAATGTGAACAGTAATAACAATGACCTAATTACAGTGAGGTATACAATCTAGGCCAGTGGGTAACTATGGCATGGCCTATTTATTAATGTGAGACGAAAGAAATTGACAGAAACAACTAATTGTAATTTGGATTTACTTTCCCATTGATTACAAGAGGGACAATGGCATACATGCATACGATACACAACCACAAAATGACTTCCACAAGAGTCAATGCAAATTATCAAGTGGTAAAATAATTAATGCTTGTGCACAAACGAATTATACTAAAAAGAGCATTTACACGCATGCGTTAAGGTGTCTCTTTTAACGAAATCAATAGTTTATTAGAAAGAGCATTTGAAAGTGATGTCCCTATCCAATCTTAAAACTTGATCAACTCATAGTCTCTAATTTCTTTGCATTCGAATAAATCGGCACTACCCTTATGGAAGTGCAAAACCACGAAGATACAAAGCAAACCTTTAGTCATGAATAACTATATTATAGGAAATTGCCACACGATCGCACTCATAGATAAAACCAAAATATTCCAGACCTAAGAATGAGGCATGAGGCAATTTAATGGTTGAAGCGTGACGTTGCTTAAATTTAAACACCCTCCGATCTAATTCGTATCCTGATACGAAAATAACGATGGTTTTCTCAACAAATTGTGGGAGGGGGGGGGGGGGGGGGGGATTAAGAGAGGAGGAAGCTTATTTATTGGAAATAAATGAAGTTTCTAGAAGAGAATGTTTAAATAACCAATCAGCAATCAATTAGAACTAGGCAAAAACGAAGCATAACTATTAAAACCTATTATTATGATCATCAAAAAATCGATAATAGCTGGTACTTAGTTTAAAGATATCCTGCCTAAATTAATGAATGTTCAATGAGCCGTCTGATGAAAATAGACTGTAAAACCAATTTGTAACAAAGCCAAAATGACCTGACCAATTAAAACCGATGTAAGCAAAGTGATGAGGAATTGTCCCAATTATCAAAATGGACAAGAGCAAAAGAAAAAAAATTGATCATTGCACTTCGATAAAAAATATTTCTCAAATATAAAATTCACTTGTTCGCTATATTCAACCTATTGCTTTTGTACAAGCAGGAAACACTCACCCTGTTACTGAAATTTATCAAGTCCATGGTTAGAATAAAAAATATCAATTTTCAGCTCAACTCCTAGGTATTACATAGGTTTTGGCTCTGAAGCAAAGCAGAAATAAAATTACTTAAGTAATCAAAACTTACTTGACATAATTAAATGGGATCTTCGATCTCTGCGATTGCACGATACTCCACACGCCCCAGTACAAGTGGGAGGCCTATACAAAGAGGGAGAGAGAGAGAGAGAGAGAGAGGGAGAGAGAAGTATATGTGGAGGGGAAGCATCAAAAGACCATACACATAGCCAGATAACGTAGAGAGCTAAGAACAAACAACAAAGGATGGAGAGCTATAAAACTTGGATACCGTTGTTCCCTATTGTTCCTCTAGGTGCTTTAAGTACCTCTAATAAAATGGATGCCCATTAGGGAACGAACTACAAAGGTAAAATTAGGCCGTACTCAAAAAAGTGTTGTTTGTGAGGCATGGACTACAGAAGCAATTGAAAGCATTCCAATTGTCTTGCTGACAAATACAAGTAGAAGCAGGACCTTGGAGAACTTCTTTGTCATAATTGGATTGAGATTAAGGGAGAGTGAATATAGCTAACAATATCGGATCAGGGGTAATGTGCTAAGAAAACGAGAGGTTTAATGCTATCTTAGTAAACTTTATAAATATGCTATTTATTTCACCAATTTGATCATTTAAAGAGATAATGTGCCAAAGTGATATCGAAATGAGCTAATCTGTGATGAGGAGAGTATTATAGGAGACAAAGGTAATTTGCTTTTGGAGAAAATAGATGAACAAGCAGACTTTCTAGTTTTCTTAAAAGCAATTGTGTATGAGCATAAATAGAAAGTTAGAAAAATGTCTACTAAAGTTAAGCCATCTATAATTATCCCTATTTGCCATTAAAATTTCCAAATACTTTCACAAGAAAGTCAATTCCAAGTTAGTTTTAATAATTATTAAATGATTTGAAATGAAAAGACAACCCATACTGGACTGACCAGAATCCGAAATGAAGGCCTTTCTATTAGCCGACAATAGAAATAAAAAATTTGAGTAATGAAACAAAGGAACTTCAACGATTTCAAGTTGCTATAATAAAATTAACAGATATGAGTCATCATTCGTTAATATCCAATAAGAACAGTGTCATTACAAACAGAAAAACACAGGGCGTCTGAGGAATTCAAGGTTCAAGAATGTGTCTAGCTATTGACAAGCTAAGGATTTTGAAAGCAGAGGAGATGGTTCAATGCAGAAGTTCAAACTCAGATTTTTCAGACAAGAACTGGCGATAATTGTCAGCCAAATCATAAGGCGTCCTGATAAGTTAAATAAACTATCGACAAAGAAAACGAAATAAATTTAATTTTTTGGGTTTAGTCCGCTCCTAATAAAATGAGTTAATTATAAATACAGGAAGTTATACCTTACAGTTTATATAGTGTAATTAATATATAGAGGTGCCCTTGGCTTCACAAGGCTGTATTAAGAATAATACATATAAACGAAATTTTGACAAATAAATCAGACTTTGAAAAACCACTAAGGGTGTAAAATATAAGGATGAAAAATTCCTCAAATTAGCAAATAATTGATTTTCTCCCGAATCTCCTACTTGCATTAACCCCTCCACCTACGGCTCGATGCTGCCATCCTACTCAATACCCCTGAAATTAAAATTTGATGAAAAACGTAAAAGGATGTTTAAACACCAAATTGTGTAATTACAGGTAATCTCCAGCTCAGCAAGCAATACTGGACTTTCCAATGGGTTGGACAAATCAGAAGTGTAATTAACCCGCATAACTGCCACCTTGAACCCACAACCATAGAAACAAATTAAGATTTGGCAGTGAAATTGTCAATAGGAAACGATCGGACTGGAACGATATGATCTCGACAACATTTCATTCAAGGAGAACCAGGAGTATGAACATGACTTAAACATTTGTACCAATAAACTGAGGTGGCTTTCCGATCAGTGTCCGAATTCGTCCAATGGCTTCAATGTGGTCCTCGTCTACATTGCAAAATTCTTTTCACTTAAGATAAATGGTACGAATTTCAAGCATTCTTACGAGGTGAACAAAATTGACTAATATTGCCTGAACAGACCTCCCCATAATAAATGGTTAACACCTTTGTGGAAAATATCGTTGCTTCAACCTTCTGGCTTAAATGGCTCAATAAGTACCCAAAAATGTTCCTCCGGAGGATTGATGAAGTGATTAGAGTAATAAAAGCAACAAAGAATGAAGCCAAACTTTAATTCACCTAAGGTTCCTATTTCCATAAAGAAAAAAAAACAATCATTTCCTCAACGAAGGGGAAAGAAAAGGGTACTAGAAGAGGTGAAACAACTTCTGCCTCCTTGAATTACATTATCATAATCAAGGGCACAATATAAAAGATAAAAATACTCATAAAAGCCTTTCAGTGCTCGTTATTATTAATGCTACCTACTTGCAAAAAAGTCAGAATTTCATCGTATAGAAAAGCTACGGTCAAGGTTATTATCTGCCTTGATAAACAAGTGAAAGGAAAGAGTTTAACATACAGCTGCAAACGTGGAATCGATGATTTAAAGAAATGTGAGGTAATATAAAGTTGACTTCATAGCAGAATCAAACGAAGATTCAACTTACCATGGTAAAATTGCCAATTTCATCTAGCCACTCCTCTACTTCTTCTGAACAAACGCTCCCAGAGTCACCAGAGCGTGTTTTAAAAGCTTGAAGGTATGCTCTGACCCAGTCTCTCTGTATTTCTCGGGAGGGGTATTTTGAAGGATCATGATCGACCATTCCACAATACTCACAAAAGTGATTTGCTATTTCGTAGCAGACATTATTGTGTCCACAGTACTCAAAGTCTATGAAATGAACATCGTCTAGAAAAAGAAAAATAATTAAACTAGAGCAAAATACCATTATTGGGAGACATGACGATATTTCCGAATAAGAGATCATTGTGACAAAATCGAACTGGGGATTTGGCATTAGCTAGCAGTTTCCGAAGAAACAAAACTTCTTCAATCAGATATTCTTTTGGTGGGAACTGATTGTGACTGTTGGCAAAGTTATCATTGTCACCCGAGCCGTTAGAAATTACTTTATCTAAGAGGCCGTCCGAAATTAGGCTGATAAGCTTTAATGTGGAATTAAGGACGCATGGACTACTATCAAATAGGAATCCGACGTCATTAAAGTGCTGTTCTGTGAATTCGCCAATTGGCAAAGTATGTAATTCTGCCACCTTTTCTGCAACCATCCTTCAAAAAAATGAAAAATTATCTAATTGATAAACACTAGACTTACTTATAATAATGTGGATCGGAAAGAATATCATAGTTCACTGTTGAACCAGGCAGATAACCGTAGCAGATTCCGTTGAGGAATTTGGCATAAACCTCACTGGCAAAATGGATCTGGTTTAATATCCATAGATAAATAGCTTCTTTGTCTCTATCAATATATAGTTCTGTCTGATGGCCAAAAATGCGAACCAAAACGCAGTTGTCGGGAGAGAGGGGTGTGTTGAGATAAACAACAAAAAGAACATTTGACGTTCCTTCATTAAATAGCTAAAAGAAAGAAGATTAAACTTGAAAAAATATTACTTTATATTGAAGTTTGTCAAGCGGCCAATCAGGCTTAACAGATGAAATGAGTAATTGTATGCTTGGCACATCTTCCCAACTTTCAATTCTTAAGTCTAATTTTTTCACTGACCCGAGTACCATTTCGCTCGATAAAAGTTCTAAGTAAAAAAGTAGCAATTACTAAAGGAGCGTGGATAGAAGCAAGATTGGGAACTGTCCTTGGGAAGCAAAATACTCTTCAATCACATTTATTTATTTAACGGTCTAGGTCATCAGAATATTGATGCATTCAATGTATCTGCATTTGCTATTTTTTAATAATTTTTCCTTTTTATAATTTATTTCAGAATGTATAGATACTTTATTAAAATTTTGAATTTATCTGATAGCTTTAAATCGGGTAGAAATATTTTGGTTAAATGAAGCACTTTATGTCAATTGAAATAAATTATATTTTGGATTTAAATAGAGCAAATATCAGAGAAAAAAAGCACATAGCCAAAATTATGTTCAATTAAAGAAATCTATATCATGCCATCTGTTTGCTACTGTACTAATTAAAAGAATGTGTGGTAACGTCAAAATAATGGATTACAAAAATACACGTTAATTCACCTATTCGTTATGTAAGAACATACCCTAATTAAAGACATAAGGGTATTATATATTATATGTACCGAGGTTTTCCGAAAGTCTGCCCACACAGTTAGGCGCCACATTAGCTTATGTACAATAAATGGTGTTGTAGTAATCCTTCCTTATTAAACATGCAGATGATATTTACAAATTAATTTATTAAATTGCACTTTAAAAGATCTCTTTTACATCCTTGGGTTCTTATACGAATGCATAGTTATTTGGTTCCGAAAATTGTTTCATGAAATGAAATTTTTGTCCGTTGGAGGATCTTCGAGTAGCCAAAGTACATGGTAAATCTCGGACTGATGTAAGAGATACTCAAGTGTCACCGATAATTAAAATAATTTTACATTTAAAATGGTTAATTCTATTATAACTATTTTTCTGAAATATGGTAATTCAAAGGAACAATTCAACTAAAAGCAGTAAGTTGTTATCTTCCACCTAATTCTAGATTTGATGTGAACCTAGTTTAGTGCAGCGCGCACGCTTTCCAATCATACAGGAAACTCAAAGCAGCACTATGAAAATTTCATAAGCTCTAATATTTTGTCCATAATCACAATGAAATTCATATGTTTGTTAAAATTGATTTGTCGTCAAAGAAATAAAAAAATAAATCTTACAGACTTCTAAAAAACTCACTCATTTCTTTGTTATCAATTTTACAACGGATTAATCCCTTTTGGGGAAAATATATTCAGTCATACACATGTAGAAACAATTATTCTGGTGTTTTTAGAAAGGTTAATCAATCAGCAACTCACAAGAGATAATTCATTTATTTTCAAAACACATAAAACAGTTGCCTTATGGATCTTCGTCGTATTGGACCCATTCATAAATGAATACTATTTGTTTTTCTTGTTCTGGGTTCCCTTTGACCCTCACAATACTTGATTACTAATAATCGTCAGATCTATAATTTTAAGACCCAATTTGTTATGAGTAAATAAAAATGTCAAAGGTTTTTATGTTGCTAATGTACTAGTTTATGAAGGAAAAAGGTGGGGGAAATTGACTGGAAATTCCTTAAATATACATTTCGCAATGTGAGAAAATGGGCGACAAATATTAGCGAAATAATTGAACCTGAGTTATAAGTAATGAATTCCTGGGATGGTCGACTGTCTTTAAAGAACGTTACTTGCCAAGTGTCTAAAGTGTGCTCCACTTATTGACTTGCAGTGTTAAAAGATGTGAATCCATTTGACGGAAGTTAATTTAATGGTTTAGTCGGCGTATAGGTCAATGTATTACTTTGGACTAGTAAGCATTTCATTTTTATCAATTTATTTTTAAAATTTAATATGCTTACAAACAGCATATTTTTATTTTCATGAAATTGTAAAGAAGCTGACTAAAATAATACTATGATCCATTAAAATAACAAAGCAAATTATTGAAATGCTAAAAATTCTTCCATAAGAATGAATGAAAAATATAGACAACTATTGATCCCAAAATCATATCAGAATAAAAGCTTTTATCAAATAGTACAAAAATCTGCTTTATACTAGCAAGAACTGCTAAATAACAATTACTCAAATTTCTTGTTGATGTTCATGTAACATTTCGACAATTCCCAACTATAACTAAATTTTAAAATCTTTTTAATTCAAAATTATAGCACTTTATATAAATTCAAAAGGAATAACGGAAATTGCCGCATTTTTTCTTCTGTAGATTAATGCTGCTGATTATTGTGTTGCTTATCTGTAGTTAATCATTGTCGTCCCGTGATGAGCTCTTTGGTTCTTGGCCGTTTATTCTACGTTCGCTCGTTTTCCGTCTTTCAACGTGCAACTTTTGCTACCCAACAAGCCGTCGATCCTATTCAACGTGCATTTGTTGAGAAACTTCGTGAGTATCAGATGAAGTCAAAAACTGCTGAAATGGGTCTCGTTGGTGCCTCTGAAACTCAAATTAAAGAACTCAAAGACTCACTTGGGAAGCTAGATAATGTGTTTAACGCCAAAGGTGCCGACATGACTCAATTTCCCATTTTACAACATAAAGAGCCCGAACTTACCAACCCTGGGTCGTCCATCGTTGTTGAATATCCCGAGCCCGTACTTCTCGAAGATGTCGAAAAATCAGAAAGATTGGACGATGTTCTGACAAAGGGACCAATCGTTATATAGATGTATGATCCTCCCCAGTAATACTAGTTCGAGTAATTGTGTTTCTTAAATAAACTTATGTTATCCTATTTTATTTCATTTTACATTTTGTTTTCAATTTAAAATCTAGGTTATTGTTTTAAAATCCTAAAATAATCTCTACTGTTTGGTTTTATTCATTTTGTTTTTGTCACATTTTAATTTTGTCCTGCCTTCATCATAAACGCCTTGAAACTTCAGATACTACTTGAGAATGATCTATCTTGTGTGAGATAATTATGCTCGAGAGCATGTTTCTTTCGTTTGTTTGAAGTTATTCTTTTCTGAAACAGGATGTTTATTGACTAGCTACATTGTTATAGTTTCTCGTTTGTATCATTGTAGGACATTATTTTTCTCATTGTTTACATTTTCTATTCTGTCGGAATTGGACTGCTATTCCCAATTTGACGATGTTTGGAATTTCAAATAAATGTTCAGAAGTTTCGTTTTTGTCTGATCATCTATTTTCACTTTGATTTCATGCATAAGGGTACCTTAATGATATTTTATGGATTCGATGATTAACCTGTTGTTCCCATCTACTTTGTCACTCCTGAATTAATTTCCTGCACTCGCCATCGCAAAGCATAGTCACTAGGAAACTCCAAATTCTGTTACCTTGTTGACCGAATTTGACTAGTGCTATCTATCATCTTACGCACTGAATGTGAAATGATGGGTTTCGGGTTTGTAACCTTTAGCTTCTTTCTTGCAGAAGTGGTGACACCCGCTTGCTTTTCTGTTATTTTGGTACAATGCAACTAACTTTAATTAACGGTTATAAGTTCTTTTTCTTATTTTCTCGATAGTAGGTTAAGTTGCTTTGACTAGATGTCTCAGACTTGTGCTTTATCGCTTAGCTTATCGAATCGGTGACGTTTGTGTATGCAGAACCTTGGAGATTTCTGAGTGTGAGCATGTAAATTGGACAAACCCAGTCTACTTAACCCTAATCTATAAAAGGAAACAATAAATTTAGAACTCAAATTTATAAAGTAAAGTCATAAATATCAAAGTCCTGCAACACTTGCGTGGGCCACTGCACATGATAGCTTACGATTATTCTGCTGATGATTACAAATTATGAGTAGGCAACTATGACGTTTTGAAAGCTTGCCCAGGCTTCGCTACCTCATCTGCCAATGCTAACAGACTTCGTATGAAACTAAATGACGAGTGGGAATTTATAGGAAAAATTTAAAAAGGTTTGGTTTTATTTTTCCATCATATAAACAAGCCGAATCTTTTGTTAATATTAATTTTATTGAACTGATTGGCACTAACGTCCTCCTAAAAAATTTAAGTAAATTAAGTTGATAGCGTCTAAATGTTTTCGGTTGCGAGTGGGTAAACTGCTAAGACTATTTTTCTGTTCATTTTGTGGATGGTATTTCTTGGGGATTCTTTCAATAGTTCGCCAATCTGCTTTGAGCAATGAAGTCATTATTAGTTTGAGTGAGGCTATTTTTCAGTTGTTGAAAAAATTCCAACCTGGTTCTTAAAGAGAGTGGAGAAAGTAGAGACTAGTAATGAAGAGGGTCTTGCTATATATATATATATATATATATATATATATTGGAAAATTTATGATTTTAACAATTTAATATCCATGATTAATCGAATTTAAACCAGTAGTGTGGTTGGAAAGATTGGTGGTACACATTTCAGCGGTTAGCATTTACTACATCAATTCTGGCATTTCACTTTTAAGGTTGCTATGAGCTTAACTCCCTTAGGACCGTGCGGTCATCTTTCAAAATAAATTCCATTGCCAGTAGTCTCTTAACAGAAGGCACTATTGACGTTTGAGACATGTTTAATACGTCTATTGCCTTCGTCTGATACACCACCAAAACTCCTCACGTTGGCGTCACCTTTCTACTGTGGGACACACGTGAATGGGGTTGGGTGCATTAAAGGGTTGAAATAACCTGGTTCCAAATTTTATGATTCAAATAATATCTTATTCTTATAAAATAAAGCTCCGCTATAGGGGATGGCGAATATACCTTTTTCTCCCTAAATTAACTTCTTAGAATTTTCATTTTAAGAGACCCTCTCTCCCTCCCTCTTGGGGTATTCTAAACACTAAACCCTAGGGATGCTTGCAGTTTCAGCTAGCCTTATCATAGGTTAGTTTCTCTCAAACACACATTTATGCTTACTTAGTGCATAAGGGTGCACCCTTCAACGTACTATAAATTAGACTCTCAACTATTTTCATATGCCAGGTTGGTAAAATAATTAGTATAATTAGCGGTAAAGAAAATTCCTTTTCCAAACTGTCAGTAAACACTATGCCCTCCTTCCTACCCTTGTGTTAAATTGATCGTTATCCATTTGTAACATATTTCGTATTTTCTCTTCTGTTTGGGAGCTTTCTCGATTTATATATTTTAATATTTTTTGTCATTTTCATTTAAAAGAGTTGATTTAATGTGATTACTGTGATACCTCAAATCAATGCACGAAAAGGAGTATATTTCAAATGGCAGGCGTTTTAATAATTATCATTAGACCTTTAGTTGACTTCAGATTTCACAGGGTGGTAGGAACATTAAAGTGAAAAAAATTTGATAGGGGAAGAACAGACGAGTGTTTCAAAGATGTAAAAGAGACTGACACAAAGGTAGAGAAAAAGGTAAGGTAAGGTGAGTACTGTGAAAGTGATCGGATTTGACATACAGTGGGGTCTTGGTAGTTTGAAGTGAGAAGTCAGCTGCCGGTTTATAGACTTTTTTTGCCGTATGAGTATGCGTTACCCAGGATGCACCACGTGGAGGTAAGTCTATCGCGAACCCCAAAAGAAGAACGTAATAGTCATGAGATGTGTCCAGAAACTCACTGAAGATGAACGGCTTGGCAAACACTATAACGCTTCATGAATGAAAGTATGCAGCTATTCTAACTTTACGAAAACAAATCTTTATGTAATTCCTTTGCCCTTCCATTTATAGGAGAATTAAATACAATAAAAGGCTTATGACTTTCCATGATTTCAGAATTACTGGTAATATTAATATTTTTAATAGCATTACGTGTACACTGAATATATATATATATA